GGGACATCTCATGAGAACGGTTTCATGTGTGGAGGAGTCAGGGGTGGGACCACAGGGGGCCACACAGGGTTCTGCAGGTCTCGAGGTGGGCAGAGCGCCCATGGGGTTTGTTTCACTGTAGGCTCCATTACTTACATATATATGAGAATGCACTCTCTGGTGTACATCAGATTTCATAGTAAAAATGACCAACAAACGTGTGCCCACTGGGAAGTTCCTTTGCCTTTGGAACACTTGCATTCTAGCCCACATTCTGTGATCGATGGCCCCAGTCTGCAGAAAGTGGCCAGTGCCTGCCTTCCTTGGCTAAATGAGGGTTTTGGCAAGATTCTCTTTATACAATCTATGAAGTTCTAGAATCTCTGCTTTTATTGGAAATTTTTTCCCTTTTTGGGAAAAGTACTCTTTCACCTCTGGGAGGGTGGGTGCTGGGACTGGCCAGCTGCTTGCAGACTTAAAAACAAAGTACACTCAAAAGAATCAAAAGGGCAAACCGAGTTAGAAATTACTCATTTCCTCAAATAACAGTGTAATAGGACAAACCCTTCTGCTGTGTGTGTGCAGAATGGGCCTGGAATAAGGAAACTGAATCTACAAAGGCCAACTCTACAAAGCAGACTTCTATGCCAGCTGAGGGGACAGGCACACTACAGAAGCAACATGAGCTCGTGTACTGCGTATCTGTTAATTCTCTCCGTGCATCAAGACTTTCCTTACAGATCTGTAAAAGTACTGATGGCCCAGTGCCCAAGCTCACCTACCAAGTTCAAGGAGCGCAGACTCTGAGTTGCCACCCAAGGCAGCTTTCCATTCTCCTAATGAAAACAGAAAGGAACTCAAGCCCATTATAAATTCCAGGCTATGACAGCTGGGAACTACCGCCTGTGAAGCAAAGCCAACCTTACTGCAAAGGCGGAAACACAAAGGCTGTGTGGCTTCAACACAGCCCAGGCTTGAGTCATCCAGTCTTCCAGACACTGTCATGAGCCCAGTATGGCAGGTGTCTTTTTCATTCCTTCCTAAGGAAAGTGATGCTTCCCGACTTAAAGCTAACACTTTCAGAGAGGAGAAAAGAGATGCAGAGATTCCTTTCATGTGACACAACTGAAGGCAGCAAGCAAGAGATGAAAGCATTTCTTTAGCTCAGATTCCTTTTCTTCCCAATCAGAGGCGTGAAGGGTCTTCAGAAAGTTCTGGAAAATGGGTCTTGTGAAAAAAAAAAATTGGCATGGACTTCAAAATTTTTTGCACTGAAATAAAGACATCTTTTAAAAAATGTTTATTTTCATCTACTGAAAGGTGGAGTCACAGAAACACAGAGACAGAGATTTCCCATCCATGAGCTCACTCCCCAAATGCCCCCAACAGCCAAGTCAGGGCCAGGCTGAAGCCAGGAACCCAGAACTCCATCCATCCAGGTCTCTCTATGGGTGGCGGGGGCCCAGGCACATGAGCCATCATCTGCTGCCTCCCAGGTAAGTTAGCAGGAAGCTGCACAGAGAGCAGAGGTGGCACTCAACCCAGGCACTCCATCTGGGCTGCAGGCGTCCAAGCAGTGGCTTGACCAGCTGCACCACAACACCTGCCTGTCCCTAAACTTATCTTTTAATTCCACTCTGCCTTGATCATTCTGAAGTACCCTTGGATAAACGTGCCTAAGGCTCATCTTGCTCCTCTCCCCTTAACTGCACTCACTCTGCTTTGGGACCCCATCCTGTGCCTGCTTAAAATACTGTCTCTTTGCCAATGACCCCTAAATTTATATGTCCAGCCTCTCCCCTGAACACCAGCCTCACACATCCAGTCAGCTTCCTGCCATGACCCTTGGGCTCAGCCTGTCCAAACCTGAACTCCTGAATTTCTCTCCCTCCCTATCTGCTTCTCCAAGCTGCCTCCAGCTCAGCACATTCTGAGTTTATGCCCTGGACATTTTTTGCCCCTCCCAACCAAACACACCCGATGCTGTTGGTTCTACCTTCAAAGTGCATCCGCACCTGACCATTCCCTGCCACCACTATTGATATGGGGATGGGGGAGAGCAGGCAGGGAGTCGGAGGAATTTCTGGCAGCCCTGCGTTGTCACTTTATCCCCTCCCCTGTCAGTTTGAAACTCCTAGTTTCCCAAGATGCACCTGCGTCCCCTCAGAGACTAGGCAGGAGGAGGAGAAGGAAGTTAAACTCCAGGTGAAGGTACCATGAAAACACCAAAAAAAAAGTCTAGGGCACACTAAACTCCACCCAGACCCCACCTCAGCCGTATATGTATATTCAATTAAGGCCCCACCCCTACCTCATAAAAGAGGCTGATAAGGTGGGAGGGGCGCCTGGGGATCTTCCTGGGGCGGCCTCCTCCTGGGGCGGCCTCCTTCCCCTCTGCCCCCATAGGCTGTCCTGCCTGTGACCCCTCCTTGCCCCCTCCCGCTCCGCAGCCCCAGGCAGGTGCCCTCATTTCCTCCAGGCCCCAGAGAGCTGCCCCACCCCCATAGCGCTGCCTCTGCTCCTGCTATAACTGAGGGGCCCTGTAACCCATCCCACCTGGCGCAGCGCACCTGTGTCATCCACGCCCAGCAGTGCCACTCCCCAGGAGGGCAGGGACACCTGTGCTCCCAGTGCTCAGAAAAGCACCCGACACACAGCAGACTCATCATTCAGGAGCAGACTGTGGCAATGGACACAGCTCAGTTGCTGTTAGAGGTCTGTATTTGTGAAAGCCTTAATCCCTGACCATGTTTTAGGACGTAAGATGCCCGTGCCCTGCATCAGAGTAGGCGCCTGGGTCTGCAACCCGGTCTGGCCCTGACAGGGCTTCCTGCAAGCGCAGACCCTGGAGGTGGTGGTGATGACTCAAGTGAGGGGGTTCCCGTGGCCCACCCTGGAGCTCTGCAGTGGGGTCCCAGTCCCCCACCCCGGGGCCACTGTGGACAGGAGCTTTTTCTCCTTCTCTGTCTCTCTGCCTCTTAAATAAATAAAGAGAATAGAAACACCAGAAATCAAGCCAAGCATCTACACCCAATTTATATTTGACCAAGGAGCTAAAACCAATCCCTGGAGGAAGGACAGTCTCTTCAACAAATGGTGCTGGAAAACTGGATTTCCACATGTAGGAGTATGAAGCAGGAACCCTGCCTTACACATTATACGAAAATCTATTCAAAATAGATTAAAGACCTAAATCTATGACCTGTGGCAGTGCCTGCAGTGCTGGCATCCCATATGGGTGCCGGTTCTAGTCCCGGCTGCTCCACTTCGGATCCAGCTCTCTGTTATGGCCTGGGAAAGCAGTAGAAGATGGCCCAAGTCCTTGGGCCCCTGCACTTGGCTTCAGATCTACCCAGTTCCAGCCATTGCAGCTAGTTAGGAGGTGAACCAGTGGATGGGGGAACCTCTCTCTCTGCCTCTCCTTCTCTCTGTGTAACTCTTTCAAGTAAATAAATCTTTAAAAAAAAAAAAAAAAAGCAGTGCAGTGTACCATGCTCTAGGACAGAGACTTTGTACAGCAAAGGAGCTATCTGGATTAACACTGCTATTTACACCCTACCTCTGCCCAGCTGAATATGTCCCTGTGAGTCAACAAAGAACCACCACAGTCCTCCCTCTCACTCGACTTGTCTGGGTGAGGGGTCGGCACAGGGGACGCACACACTGGGACACCTGGGGCTGGTGGGGTTCCTGCTCTCGACTTGAGTGGCACCTACTTAGGGGTCACTTTAGCTGCACACTGACCTTCTGCAAACTCTCTTCCCAGGTGTTGCATTTCAGGTGTCAGAAGCAAGCACACACGTCCATGAACCAACAGTCTCGAAGGAGCCATCCATCTCACACTTTTCTCTCAGTGCAAAGACCCCTGCAGTAAGCTGCTCCCCCTCCTCTGCAGGAAACCTTCTGTGACGAGAAACTCTCCCTGCGGAGGCAGCCCACCTGCATGTTACCCACCCTAACCGCCAGCAAGGCCTTGCCTGGGTCAAGTCAAAACCCACCCTTCCTAATGTCTACTGGCTTTTCCTGGGAGCTCCGAGGACATATCGGGGAACAAGACTGCCTTCCCAGCCTCAAGGGTCACACTCCTTAGTTAGACGGCACTTTTTAGTTCCTTATTTCGGGAGGAACCAAAGTCAGAGTCTCTGAGGTCTGATTTACCCAGCTCCTACGTTCTGCATAATCAAATCATTCTTCCAAGAACAGCGGCACGCCAAGACTTCTAGTGATCAACAGAACGCAAAAGACACAAAGAAGGAGCACCTTGTCATTCGCTGCAGAGACAGTCCGTAGCATGGATAGGGGAGACTACACACCTGCTTAACTGCACATCCCATTAGTAAAAACTCATGAACAGTCTCTGAAAATCAGATATCACCACTGAATTAACACATTATACATATTAGAAATCATACATAAAAATCAAATCTGAAAAGGGAGAAACTTCCAGCAAAACGCAACGAGGCTGCGGAGTTCCATCTGCGTCTCCACAGCCCCGGGCTGCACACTCCACTGAGAGGCCGCGTTTCTGCAGGACTGCAGTCTGCACCTGCTGGCCCCATGCCTCCCCTGTCTGAGATTTTCCCAATTCCTTCGCCCATTCCCTGTGACTTGTGAAACCAACACCCTAGGGGCTGTGGGCAGCATCGTGTGCAAATCCTAACAGAAGTACCCTGCGTGCTGGCTGCCAGCCCAACTGAAATACCAGGCACACAGGCTCCAAGTTACCATCTAAAAGTGACCAATCTGTAACGGAGCCTTGAATGAATCAGGTTCCTCTGCGATAAGGAAAGCCTCCCACTAAACACTTCCTCTAATAAATGGTTATTGTTTCTGAGAGGTGAGTCACAGTAACACAGGGGCCAAAGAGTCAGCATTTTATGTGCCTTATGAAGAATACAGTTTAGTTCATGGTTAGTCAACAGGACAACAAATCACCGTATCTTGTATCTTCTTTCCAGGACTACACTCAAACTGCACAAAAAAACATGTGGTTAAAATCGCATTTGGAATAAAATACTCACGTGCCCCAGTGTACTTTAATGGAACACGTCTTCTGCATGACACCAAATCCTTGCATTTCTTCAGTGTCATCAAAGTAGGAATTCTGGAGTCCTAGCCCCTCTGGTTCAGTAAATAAGTCAATCTGACTAATTCTGTAATCCTGAAAAAAACACACAGGCACATAGAACATTATACACGCACTTAACTCATGGTCACCTCGTTGTTCTTGCTTTACATATTCCCATGTCATGGCGCACTTGCCATGTCATCCTGCCCCATCCCACCCGTGACGTCACAGTACGCTGCTCAGTCACACAACTCCAGGTCACAGTCAGACCAAGATGATCAGAAATGGGTTTGACTTGAGTCCTGAGACGTTTCTTCCTCTCATCCTCAGTTGGCTCTCCTTGGTCACCGGAGTCGGTGCTTGGTTCTGAGCTAACTCTCCACGTGCAGGTGCAGGTGCAGGGACTCTGGGCCAGAGCATGGCTGCACGTGGCTTCTCCCTCAGCTCTTTCCTGTGCCCATGAGCCCTCCTTGACTATCACTTCGTCTCCCATCTACACAGGTAAGAGCACCCATTCATGGTGGTTTACAACATCTGCACCATGACCCCTGTTCTAGGCCCTGCAGGTCCATGGTCCTTGCACACTCTTCAGCAGGCCCTCCTGGCTGACAGCCCAAGCGCCAACTCAGGATTTCCTGAGCTTCTCCCATGCTGCAGAGCTGGGTGAACTGCAACACGGAGGGAATACTAGCGCCTGGGTCAGGTCAGGCAAGGCTCTTTCAGACACTACCAAAAGGAACAATGCTAAGGAATTATAAAGGTGACCCCTTCACGTATATCTTGTGACGCATCCAAGGATCCACACACCCAGTCTGCAGAGAGAATGTAATTCATGACACTGGCATCCCATATCAGAGTGCTGGTTCTATTCCCAACTGCTCTGCTTCTGATCTGGCTCCCTGCTAACACGCCTGAGAAGGCAGCCGAGGAAGGCTCAAGTGCTAAGGCTCCTTGGAGTCCCAGATAGAGTTTTCGGGATTCTGGTTGCATCCCTTTGGGGAGTGAACCAGTGGATGAAAGATCTCACTTCCTGTCTTTCCCTTTCTCTCTCTCTCTCTAATAAATAAATTTTTAAAAATAGAGCACCGTATCTGTATTATGATTACATGTACAAAAACAGATAGAAAATGGCCAACAAAGGGTAAAGAATGAAGGGAGAGGACATTTGCTCTGGGTGGGATTCAGGTGATATTTTAAGCATTGTTTTACTGCCAATGTTATTGGACAATAAATAAAAACTGTAAGTAAAATATTCCACTAATGAGGACATTTTGAAATAGGGCTCCTCATGTATTACTTCCTATCACATCACTTAGGACACCAATTACCATCTAAGTCACTCGGAAAGGTTGACATAGGAGACAAGGATCAGTTTCCTCTACCAAAAACTGCTCCTCGTTCTCATTCAATTTGGAATCTTCCAGTTTCTCTCTACTGCATCTCGAAATCCATCTCTATTACACAAACTTGGGACTTTAATTTCCTCTTGGAAGATACCATTAATTATATTAAAATATGTTAATATTTTTGTTTAATTGAAAGGCAAAAAGAGTGATAAAGAAAGAGCTATAGAGAGACAGACAGAGAGACAAAGACAGAGAGACAGAGAGAGAGAGAGAGAGATATGGATGGTCTCCTGCCCACCGGTTAATTTTCAAAATGCTCACAACAACTGGGGCTGATCTGAGCTAAGCCAGGAGCCAGGAGCTCACACTAGGTCTCACCCGCTTCCTGCCAGGGTGTACATCAGCAGGAAGCTGGAATCAACAATGGAACTGGAACTTGAATCCGGGGACTTCAATACAGGATGTGGGCATCCTAAACAGTGTCTCAATTGCTAGGCAATGTCACTAATTATGTTTTGAAAAGGTAAAAGAAATAATAATCTCATGAGCCACAAAGATTCTGATAATATCTTTCTCCTCAATGAAAAAAGTAGCCAAGAAATTGTACCAAATCCAAAATGTAGTCTCAAATGTCTCAAATAATATTCTTTTCAACCTACATGAAACCCCAGAGTTGCACTATCAACTTGGATAGTTTTTGGATTATCGGTACAAAGCTGAACAATTATAAACCACTCAAAGCAATCAGAAATCATGAGTAACCAAAATACTAAGTAAATGAAAATATGATCATATAGGGCTCACCACAACCAGGTTACTAAGTAGAAGATGAGAACAAGGGCCAGGAGTGAAAGATTTACATTGAGGATTTATGGTGAAAAAAAAAAAAAAAAAAAAAAAAACACTTCATCAGTTAGACCGTTTTCTAATTCACTCTAAAGTATACACACTTAAATTATAGAAAATATATCCATAAAGTATCAATCAAATAATACTTTTCCTTATCATTCATTTCATAAAATGAAGTTTTCCCTTAAAGTAAGACTCCTTCCTGGGGTAGGCACAGTGGCAGAGGGGACTGAGTTGTCACTTGGGCCGCTGGCAACCCCATATCAGAGTGCCAGTTCAAGTCCTGGCTGCTCCACTTCCGAACCACACTGCTGCTAATGCACCTGGAAAGGCAGAAGGCCTTGCAGCGCTGGCACACCGTGTTCTAGTCCCGGTCAGGATGCCAGATTCTGTCCCGGTTGCCCCTCTTCCAGGCCAGCTCTCTCCTGTGGCCCGGGAGTACAGTGGAGGATGGCCCAAGCGCTTGGGCCTTGCACCCCATGGGAGACCAGGAGAAGCACCTGGCTCCTGCCTTCGGATCAGCGCAGTGCACCGCGCAGGCCATTGGAGGGCGATCCAACGGCAATGGAAGACCTTTCTCTCTGTCTCTCTCTCTCACTGTCTACTCTGCCTGTCCAAAAAAAAAAAAAAAAAAAAGAAGAAGAAGAAGAAAAAAGGCAGAAGATGGCTCAAGGGGCTGAGCCCCCACTCACTCGTGCGGGAAACCTGGATGGAGTCCCTGGCTCATGGCTTTGGCCTGGCTGTTGCAGGCATTTGAGAAGTGAACCAGTGGATAGAAGACCAACCAACTGATCAACAGCTCGATTGATTTCTCTTTCTCCTCTGTCTCTCCCTCTCTCTCTCTCTCTGTTGTAATTCATTAATTTGAATAAATCTTTTAAAAACACGAAATTAAAAAAAATTTTTTTGAATAAATAAATCTTTAAAAAATTATTCTCTCCTGGCATTTAAAAAACACACTAAAGAACGAATGAAATCCAGATTTAGGACAACCCACCTGGACCACATGCCTGATGGAGCCAATTACCACGGACTTCTCAGACTCCTCTTCCTCGCTTCTTTCCAGAAGATCTTCCATACCCCAGAGACCAGAGAGTTCCAATTCCCCTTCTTCTAACGGAATGGAGTGCCCTTCAAAATTTGGTTTCTCATACAAAATCCAGCTAAGGTTAAAAAAAAAAAAAAAAAAGAAACCATTAGCCAGTTTCAGTGAAAGGTTTTGACTACTCAGATACTCCCGCTCACTTCCACTACATAGAACTTTATGTTACTGACAGAGTCTCTAGCAATTAAAATAACAAACTCTCCTTGAAACTAAAATTTGACAGGGTCTAACGAAGCTTCTGATAATTCAAGAACTACATCAGGGTCTTAGAGAACTTTCCAATGATCAAAATGAACACTGTACAGCTACTAACGTCCTATGGGATTCTCAGCTGGTTAAGACCTCCAAATGAGAACACAACAGGTAAACGAGGGTTGGCCACAGTGCTTCCCCCCTCTTTTTATGTGTAGAAAACATTTCTCTTAGAGGAATTCTAACTTACATGGTACAATCATATCAACGGATGTTGATAGAAAGGACTCCATGCATGCTAGCAGAAAGCATTCAAAAAACAGTCATCCCAAGAACAGCCAAACACTAAGAAAAACGTCAAGTCAATGCAAGTGCTGTCTTTAAGTGCTTATGCTTCCAAGGAAACAAAATAAGGTCACTGAAGGCAAAAAGCACTGTTCCATTAAAATCAAAAATGTGGGAATGGCATTGTGGTGTAGCAGGTTAAGTTGCCAACTGCAACGCCATATGGGCACCAGTTCATGTCCCAGCTGCTCCACTTCTGACCCAGCCCCCTGCTAATGTCCTGAGAAAGCAACAGAAGATGGCCCAAGTGCTTGGGGCCCTGAAGTCACATGGGAGAACCAGAAGCAGCTCTGGGCTCCTGGCTTTGGCTTGGCATAGCCTCGGTTGTTGTGGTCATTTAGTGAGTGAAACAGTGCATAGAAAACCTCTCTCCTTCTCTGTCTCTCCCTTGCTCTCTATAACTCTGCCTCTCACATAAAAATATAAAATCAAATTATGATACATTTTAAATGTAATTTTCAATCTTTCAACTTAGGAATAAAAGCAGGGGACAGCACTGTGATGCGGCAGGTAAAGCTCCCGCCTGCAACACCAACATCCTGTAAGGGCTCTGGTTCTAGTCCTGGTTGCTCCACTTCCAAACCAGCTCCCTGCTCATGTGCTTGGGCAAGTAGTGGAGGATGGCCCAAGTGTACCCATGTGAGGGATCCAAATGAAGCTCCTGGCTCCTGGCTCCTGCCTGGCCCAGCCCTGGCTGTGGCTGTTGTGACCATTTGGGGAGTGAACCAGTGGATGGAAGCTCGCCCTCTCTCTCTAAGTCTGCCTTTCAAATCAATAAATCTTAAAAAAGCAATTTCAGAAACTGTCAAAGTACTCCCATTTTTACCAGTTTCTTGATTTAATCAAAACTATCTTTTAACCAAAAGAAAAATGAGAAAGTAAATTAAATTTGAAGCTAGTCCTTCACTGACCAATCATTGAAAAGTCAGCAAAAGTGTCTGTCCTTACACACTTCTGAAGTCACATTTGGCCTCTCAATATGACAGTGCAGTTTTTAGTAACCTCGTTTACTGACCAAAATTATCTGATGGGCTCTGACGTATGATCAATCCACAGCAACGCGTTGGGGGACACGTAGGGGAAAGAAGCTTGTTCTACTTTATTCTTCTGATATTTCTACCATAACTAGGAACCATTCCTATAATCAGAAACTTGCATCAAAGCGGTATTTCTTAGAAATGAATTCCTTATCTGACCACGACTGGTTGTTTTCTGAGCCTGGCGTTGCTAACGACGGCTTCACACAAGCGGTGAGGCCCAGAGACGTAACTCAGCATGCTCAGCACAGACCCCGGCAGACAGGGAGGGGAAGTGCCATTCTCACCAGCCTCGAACCACTTTGATGAGTATCAGTGGGGACAGGCTCCAGGAGCTGCAATCCTGGACGTCGCTAAACACTTCCATGCACTTCTCAGAGACGTCAGGTTCACTGTAGATCACCACCTACAAAATGGGAGGCAGGCAGTGCACTTGGTTGTACTCTTTGTGGACCAAAATGAAATCCAGACTAGAAACAGAAGATGAGCTCACCTTTCCAGGTCGGGGGTTGAGTTTATTTTGGACTCCTCCTCTGAGTGTCTGCAATCAGAAGAACAGAAACACAATGCCAGTTACAGCTCCATAGGACAGTCCTCGGCTCCACCCAGGGGCCTTCCAGGAAGATGGCATTTCCCTCACTGTTCACCTGAGCTATGCCAACATTCTGTTAAAACTCTTTGAGTTTATTCTACTAAATTAAGAGCTTTTTCCCTCTAACTGTTATTGCTCATTTACATTTCTAGGGTAGGGGGCCAGTGCTCTGGCCTAGTAGGTAGAGCGGCCGCCTGTGCCAACATCCCATATGGGTGTCAGTTTGAGACCTGGTTGCTCCACATCCAATCCACCGTCCTGCTAATGTACCCGGGAAAGCAGCAGAAGATGGTCCAAGTACTTGGGCCCCTGCACCCACATGGGAGACCCAGAAGAAGCTCCTAGCCCTGGATTTAGCCTGGCCCAGCACTGCCCATTATAGCCATCTGGGGAGTGAACCAGCGATGGAAGACGGATCTCTTTCTCTTTCTCTCTCTTACTCTGACTTTTGAATAAATACATAAACCTTTTTTTTTAAAGATTTATTTATTTATTCGAAAGGAAGACTTACAAAGAGGCAGAGAGAAAGAGAGAGGTCTTCCATCTTGTGCAGGTGCAAGAGCTTGGGCCATCTTCCATTGCTTTCCCAGGCCATAGCAAAGAGATAGATCAGAAGTAGAGCAGCCAGGACTTGAACCAGCGCCCATACGGATTCTGGCACTGCAGGCAGCGGTTTTACCCACTACGCCACAGCATCGGCCCCTATAGAAACAAATTTCTAGGCTATTTCCAACAATGTTTGAAAATTCAGGTCCCCAAAATCAGACCCATATGCCAGTTCAGAGAACAAGAATCCACCGAAGAGATTATAATTTCCATAATCTCAGCACTATCTCAAATATATGAGAAACTGAAATGTATTTATCACTTATCTACAAAGAGCTGAGTCAACTTTATGTGTTCATACACACACCCTATTTGAATCTACATACATTGTGTTTTCATAATAATATCTACCATCATGTACTAACTACTAGGCCAAATAAAAATGTTTGTATTCCAGAGAGTACACTGCACATGGTATATTTAATCCCCCGGTTTTAGTCATGGACAAAATATCTTTGTATATGCCTCCCAAAGTAATCATTTTCAAGACCATCCAACAAGACCAGTAAAACCAGAAATGCCTAAGATAATAAAAATGGTAATTACATGTGTAAAAATATTACAAAACATGGACGACTTTCAGTGCTGACCAGATGCCTATTCCAAGAATCACCTTTGATCTGACTGCTCTTGCATCATACCAGAGAATGCCATAAACTCACCATGGGAAAAGAAAATTAAAAGGTTAAGTTTCCTTTGGTGCAAAAAATTTTGAAATCCATGCATATTTTTTCATAACACTCATTTCATGAACACAATTTTTTTATATTTGACTTTATTTTTTTTTTTTATTTGACAGAGTTATAGACAGTGAGAGAGGCAGAAAGGTCTTCCTTCTGTTGGTTCACCCCCCCCAAATGACTGCCATGGCGGGCACACTGCGCCGATCCAAAGCCAGGAGCCAGGTGCTTCCCCCACCCCCCCACCCTGGTCTTCCATGTGCATGCAGAGGCCCAAGCACTTGGGCCATCCTCCACTGCCTTCCCGGGCCACAGCAGAGAGCTGGACTGGAAGAGGAGCAACCAGGACTAGAACTGGCGCCCATATGGGATGCTGGCACGGCAGGCCAAGGATTAACCAAGTGAGCCACGATGCCAGCCCCTTGACTTTTTTTAAAAAAAATCTTTTATTTATGGGTTTAATTTATTTGAGAGGCAGAGAGACAAAGACAGAGCTCCCATCCAGTGGTTTTTTTCCCTACAACAGCCATGAGCCAGCCAAGATCAGAAACCTGGAAGTGGGTGGCAGGGACCAGGTACTTGAACCACCACTGCTGACTCACATGACTCCTGCACACCAGCAGGGAAGTGCCTGGGACGTGAACCATGCACTCTGATACGGCACAAGGGCATCCTGGCTGGCAACTTGCCTGCTAGGCCAAACACCCACCCCTCCCACAAACTTTCTGAAGACTCCTCGTACATATCAGAAGTAGATAAAATGAAGAAACAATGTAAAAGTCAAGCCAAAACTCAGGTTGAATACAGGAATGGTTTCATAATCAATCAGGATTCAAAATGACTCTTCTAATCCTAAAAAGACCTTGACAAAGTATGAAGCCCTTTGCTTCTCCCTTTTACTCCAATTAACTGGTTTGCATAGGAAACTGCACTACTGTAACATAGATGATCTACAAATAATTTAAAACAAAGCCATCTTGAACAGAAATGCTTGCAGAAATTCCTTCCGTGCTTAAAGAGCAGTAGCTTAAAACCTTATAATTTTGAGTACTATGGGGTGATTCAATCTTACTTGTCTGCAACAGTGAATCTCAAAGTATGGTCCCGAGGTGCTCAGGGGAACCCCCAAAATGCTTCTAGTTTTGACTATCCTAGGAGCATAAGCCCCATGACGAGTAATGGTGACATTGCTCTGATGGCTACTGAATGCATGCTTGTGTTCTGATGTTCAAACTCTTTCTCAGTATTAATTTCTAATACCCTAAGTTCTGATAGCCATAGCCCATATAGCAACTAAAGCTCTCTTGGGGTCCTCAATAATTTTAAAGGAATCTAAGACAAAAAATTTGAAACCCACCGGTTTACAAAATCACATGGAGAAGGGAATCTGGAGCCAGGAGTTTGGTGCAGGGTTAAGATACCACCATGCCCTACTGGAGCACCTGGGCTCTAGTCTCAGCTGCACTCTGATTCCAGCTTCCTGCTAAGGCACACCTTGGGAGGCAGCGGGTAATGGCTCAAGTACTGCCACCCACTTGGATTGAGTCCCCAGCTCCTGGCTTCAGCTTGGGCCAGGGCTAGATGTTGGAGGAATTTGGGGAGTGACCAACAGGTGGAAGATCTGTGTGTGTGTGTGTGTGTGTGTCTGCCTTTCAAAATGTGTAAGTGATGAATTATTTTTAAACAATAAAAAGCAAAGGGGGATGTTATCCTGCTATTGGAAAGCCAACTACACATTTTGAAAGAGCTTCCGAAGCCACTCTCTATGAGAGGGCTGTAGCAAAAGCCAGTATCACGCCCTTGAACATGCTGCAGGGCCTTGGACACATGCAGGTGAGCGCAAAGTATTTTCTCCCTCGGTTAACTGCCTTGGGTCACAGTCTACACTTGTCAGGAAGCCTGGCTCACAGGCTGGGCCGCCGACTCACGGGCTCCGCTCAGATTTCTAGGACAGCAGAGCTGAGCTCTGGACTTGCTGTTCTGCCTCCCTCAACGTTGAGTATCCAGCTTGTTAACAAAAAGGTACCAATTCATGTAGGAAAAAAAAAAAAAAAAAAACGAGGAAAGAAAACACCCTCCAGCCCTCAGATACAATGGGCTGGAGAAATCCTAACTGTTCCCCCAGATCATATTTGGCTGCCCTGTCTGTGTTGTGGTATTCGAGAAAAGATCCAGCATGAACCAACACTCTTTATTCTCCAAAACTTGGGCGGGGGGAGACAGGTGGGCGACGTCCCTGATGAGAATGTATCCCCAGTCCCAGCTGCAAGGGAGAAGCCAGCCTTGCTTCCCAGGGAAAGGCAGAGCGAACCTGACGGTTCAGCTCGGAGAAGGGAGGAAGAAAAGGTTTCCGGGGCGGGCTGGGGCTTTCCCAAATAGAGGAAGCAGCTTCACAAGCCAGAATTCTAAGTACAGAACAGAGCATTTTTACAGAGAAGAGCCGTGGAAAGGCTTCTTGTCTGCCTGCACACTCTCCAAGCACCTGCCCTATGCCTTTCCTAACACAGCGTATAAATTCACAGGTGCCTTGAAATCTTTCTGCCTTCTCCTCCCGGCTGGACCGCAGAGGACTAGAGAGAAGAAACTTACCACCTTTTTCTTTGGGCCCTAACAGTCCAGATTTTTCAAATATGCACGCATATATGTGAATGAACAGAAAACTCTCTTACACAAGCATAACCACTTCTCCAAGAGTAACAGAAACTGCTCATGCTCACTCTCTCGCCTCTGCTTTGTAAATCCCCAATCGACCGAGAACAGGTCGCTACTCACCATTGTGTCCGACAGTGACATTCCCGAGAAGGCCACACTTGGGTCGTACCGGCTAGATCTGAAAAGCTCCATGAAGTCAGGGTCGCTGCTTCCATAGGTCGGCACGCTCGATTTAAGGACGCCTTCCACATGATTCGCCCGCTCCGTGTCGTCGGTGTCGCTCTTTGGCTTTGAAAGTTCCGAAAGCCTGGTTTCTGGCAGGTGCGGGGTGCTTTGGGGATGCAGCTCCTCCTTGGTTTCTTCTTTCTGCAGGTGCTTCTCCATGGGGCTGGCACTCTTCAAGCCAGGGGGAGGCAGATGTGAATTGAAACTGAAGACCTTCCCTGAGTTGCTGGGTGGCAGGCTGGGCGGCTCGGGGAGTGAGCCACAGGGCGGGGCCCCTTCTGCAGCGGGCTGGGGTGCTGCAGACTGCGCCGCGGGACTGTTCGGAGAATTGCTGAACGTTGTGGTCATCGTGTTGACTGACGTCACAGAGGGGGAAAAGACTTTGTCTTGCGGCAGAGATGAAAGGATGCTGGAGAAAAGGGCACTTTTCTCCAGCCTCGATCTCTTAACCCCACCCCCGTTGGGGAAATCCCGGGTCTCTCTGTCATTGCCTTCTGGCACGGCCGCAGGCTCGCTCTTCCCGTTAGTGGTGGCATGCAAGGACTTGAAGAGGATGCTCTGCTCAGTGGACGCGCGCTTGGGTCTCAGCTTGGATTTCGCGTCCAGGTTCTGCATCAGATGCAGAGCCGGTGACATTTCTGCCTGGTTTTCCTTCTTCCGCCCCAAACCGAAGGTGAACACATTGGGATCAAACACCTTTTCTAAGTTGTCTTCGTGAATGGGCGGCATGGCGAAGTGAGGGGCCGGGGAGTGCGGCATCCTGGCCTTCTTCTTCTTCTGGGGCAGGCACACTGTGCTGTCCATCTTCTTGATGATCTCGGTGAATTTTTCCATATCAGAAGAAGAGTCAAACACACTGTCATCGCTCCCAGCAGAAACATCCAGAAGACTGGCCGGGGTGTCCTGGCCGTTCACGGCACTGCCATCAGGCCCTGCCCGTGCCGGGGTTCTCTCGCCCTGACTTTGAGCCTGTGTGGGCAGGGCCGTCTCTGTGTGCCGCGGCGAGACTTGCGGGCTCGACTCCGCCACATGTCCTCCCTCGCAGTGAGGGTGCGTAGGTGACAGGCTCCTACCACCCAGCACTTCCTCTTGCTGGGTGGGGGCACAGCTTGCAACCGAAACCACTTCGAGTTCATTGTTGTGACAGCTTGGCAACTGCACTTCCCGAACTTCAGAGCTTCCTGAGATGAGGTGGGAGCTGACATCCCCGGGGCTGTCCAGGGGCAGCACGTAGGACCTGACCTGGACAAGGACTCTTGATGGACACTCATTTCCCTCCGGCTCTGGGGACAAAGGAGGGTTTGCTTCTCCCCCTCCAAGTCCAGACTCTGGCGCTTTCTCACTGTCCCTCCACTCTGTACCTCCGTTCTGGCTCTCTGATGCTTTGAGCTCAGGACACGGCAAGTCACTCAGGGGGACTTGAGAACAGGTGTCTCTGGGGCTGTCCCCAGGAACGGGTGCAGGCCTGGGAGGAGGGGGCCCCTGAGCCTCCTCGGCGGGAGGTTGTGAGTCAGAACACTCATCCTGCGGCTTTGGTGTGGGTGCTGGAGGCAAACCTTGGGTATCCAGAGTGGCGGGGACGCCTCGCGCTGCCTCGGGCATAGCAAGTCTCTTGCTGTCAGCGGCCTCTGAGCTGTCCTCACCTAGGAGCCCCTGGTCCTTGGCAGGGATCGGAGAAGCAGCCACTGGTTCCAAGGGGCGGCCAGCATCTGGGTGCACACCTGCTTCATCGCCATGGCTGGCCGCTGGCACAACCTCCCCTCCAGGCACGGAGCCCTGGGATTCGGCAGGGGCCTCTTTCTCGGCCACTCCATTCTGGTGACTGCTTGGCGTTCCTTTCTTTTCGGGTACATCCATCTCCTTGGCTTTCTTGGCTAAATTCAGCTTTGCCCTACCGACAAACGTTTTATTAGAGGCGGGGCTGTTCCGCGGGCCTCGGATGTCGGCGTGTCTCGGGCTGCTGGCAGCCCGTTTGTTTTCAAATAAGGAGATTTTGGTGGCGGTGTTTCCCTTGTTAACCGGCTGGCTAAATGGATTATGCTCATTTCCCAAACTGTCCAGGTTCTTAGGGGTTTTAAGATTTAGTTCCACGTGTTTGGGCTTGGCAGGGCTGTGAGAGGAGAGAGGCAAGACACAGTTAGCGACCCAGTGTGAAAAAACAGTAACTCACAGGCCAGCGAATCGCAAAACCACGAGCAGCCTCTCCCTTCCTGGTGCACGCTATTTGATTTTTATGAAACGGGTTTTGATCAACCCTAGGTATACTACCAACAAAGTGAAATGGCTCTTTTGCTGGTGTACCAGAAGGATGTGTAGCTAAGAAACTCTGGAGTGGGGCAAGGTAACATAGGCAGCAACTGTGTGAGCCCAGGGCCCAAGAACGCTAGAACAGACCTCAGTATCTAACGCTCTGCCACACTTGCATAGGGAAATGACCTCCCCGAACATCAGTTACATGTTTATTTCACCAGTCCTTCAGAGAATATCTCAAAAGGCTAGATTACAAAAACATTCACTACAGATCTCCTTGGGGATTTCATTCCTTCTCTGTAAAAATTCTTCTGATCGATGTGGTCATTATGGAAAATGTTCAATAATCACAGTCCAACCAGAGAATACCCCTGTTAACATTCAACATATTTCTAATCTTTGTATATGCATAGTAAACTATCTTTTAATAGAACTGAGATTATTCTGCTCAAAGAGTTGGTGTCATTTTTTTTAAGAGGCAGAGACACACTAAATGCTCACAAGAACCAGAGGCAGGAACACAATCCAGATCTACCACATGGCTGGCAGTCATCCAATTACTTGAGCCATCACTGTTGTCTCCCAGCATATGCCTTGGCAGGAAGCTGGAGGCAAGGGCTAGAGCCAGGAATTGATCCCAGGCACTCCAACGTGGGACAGAACATCTTGACCACTAGGCAAAATGCCCGTCATGTGTGGGTGTGCGTGCGTGTAAAATTACTTAATCTTACAGTCAACTTTTGTTAGCTAACTAAAAATTTTTGTTTAAAGGGTCTTCTTTTTTTTAGATTAAAATTTCTTTTTCCTTTATAATATTTATTTATTTGAAAGTCAGGGTTAGAGAGAGATGCAGACTCGGGGAGAGAGAGACATCTTCCATTCGCTGGTTCATTCCCCAAATGGCGGAGACAGCCAGGCCTGGGTCAGGCCAAAGCCAGGAGCCAGGAGCTTCCTCCAGGTCTCCCATGTGGGTACAAGGGCCCAAGAACTTGTACCACTTTCCACTGCTTTCCCAGGCCCATTAGCAGGGAGTTGGATTGGAACTGGAGCAGCCATGACTCAAACTAGCACCACAGCACTGGCCCTGCAAGTGATTTTTTTTTTTAAAGATAAGTTCATTTATTTTCATTTGAAAGGCAGAGCAACAGAGAAAGAGAGTGAGAATTAGAAAGAGAAAGAACTTGAATCTGCTGGTTCACTCCCACAAATGCCTAAAACGTCAAGGACTGGGCCAAGCCACAGCCAAGAGCTCAGAACTCCATCCAGGTCTCTGACATGGGTATAGGGGCCCAAGAACTTGGGCCATCTTCCACTGCTTTCCCAGGCCATAGCAGAGAGCTGGATCAGAAGTGGAGCAGCTGGGACTCGAACCAGTGCCCATATGGGAGGTGGCTTTATCCACCACACCACAGCACAGGCCCCTAAAGGTTTTCTTAATGCCTGCATAAAGTCTGTCATACGCACATACATTAATTTACTTATCAGTTATTCAAGTGTTGCTTTGTCACCACTTCTTGGGCCAAGAAAGCATCCTCTCTGTCAAGTTGTTAGGTGTAACCGCCCCCTAATGGAAATCCTAAGTTTTGAGTGTACACAGTGTTTTCTTTCCCAGAAACAACATGTGCTCTGTTAGGCACTCACAGCTCTGGCCCTGGCTCCACTAATGACCTGTGTGAATCTGGTCAGATTGTTCTCCCTCCCCAGTCTGGGGCGGGGGTGTGAGGGATCCTAGATGACATAGAATAGGGGTGTTTTCCTTCTCTCAGATGCAGGGCCGAAGGAATCCTTGGAGTTCTCTCTAAGGGCTGCAGTTGAGAACCACAGGGACCAAGGGATGGAGCTGTCCACCTGCCTTTCAACCAAAATCACTCCCACTCACTGTTTACATCCCACTGCTACATAAGCTCCTTTAGAAGAAAGGGCTCCAAAGCTTAAAGAAAAAAAAAGCTAATTCACTGGTCTAGTGGCTTATAAATAATTGGAGAGAGAGAGAAAAATCATCACTCCTAGCCACTGCCAGCCAAGCTCCCACCAAGTACTCTCCATGGCTGAGCACACAGTGTGGTCCTGGCATGATCTATTTTAGGATGAGGAAGTTGAGGTTCAGAGAAGGCAAGTAACTTGCCTGAGGCCACACAGCCAGCAAGTGACAGGGCCCTGAGTTGGGGGGGGGGGGGGGTTCAGACGCCACACTCCCCACCAGGACACCTTTCTGCTTCCCCAGAAGTGGAAGAGCTCCTCGGGTTCTTCCCATCTCTACCAGTTAAGTGAGCTCTATGGGATCGCAGTCAGACTGGGGAGACCACCTTATGGAGCGCACGCCCATGGAGAAGCACTGCGCTCTCCCGCCATCTCCCGCGTGGACTTGGCCTTCAGGAGGCACGGCTGTGAGGAGCCGCTAGGAGGTTCAGGCTGTATGACTGTGGCCGAGACATCTGGTCTTTCTGAATAAAATGAAAGGACTGGGCTAGGTACCACCAAGTCCTCCTCAGATGCAGTACTGAGAATTTACATTTTCAGTCTTGTACATTTTACCAAAATACTAAATCTGAGATGTGCGCATAAATTTCTCTGAATATCACCTTTAAAAAAAACCAGGCTCGGGGCTGGCGCTGTGGCTCTGCAGGTTACACTGCTGCCTAAAGTGCCAGAATCCCATTTGGGTGCCACTTCAAATCCCACCTGCTCCGTTTCCAATTCAGCCCCCTGCTAATGCTCCTGGGGAAAGCAGTAGAAGACGGCCCAAGTCGGTGGGTCCCTGAACCCACATGGGAGACCTGGAAGAAGCTCCTGGCTTTGGCTTGGGCCAGCCCTGGCCATTGTCACCATTTGGGGAGTGAACCATTAGATGAAAGAACTCTATCTCTCCTCTCTCAAACTCTGATTCTTAAATAGATAAATAAATCTTTTAAAAAAAGAAAAAAAAAAGAGTAAAGAAAACCCAGGCTCCCTGACTGTAGGCCCATACCATAAATTTAAAAGCAAAATTAACTAGTAAGCATTCTCATCAAGATTAAATTCTAAAGCCACTAAGATGATCAGCAATTGTTAAAATGCTATCAGTCAACAAGGAATGTGCATTGAAAGAATTCCCACCAGGCAGCTCAGGGAACAGTACTCCAGTCCAACATCAAAGTGTATTTTATGATGTGAATGGAAAATGCTACAGGTTAGCCCACAAGCTACCTTCAGCACATGTGCACTTGAAAGATCTGCACCAAGATCAAAATGCATTTTACAATCACACTTTCTGTGTTATTGGGTCCTGCTACCAAGAGTCACTGCAATTAACCTAGTTCTGGCTGATTACAAGGCAGGTTCCTATAATACGTGTTGTAAAGCCCTCATCATAATAGAAGGGAAAACAACTGGGAGCCCAAAAAGCCGTAGTTACAAACTACGAGGACAATGTTCCTTCTTCCAAACATGCGACTTTAAGAATTTCAACAGCCAGCTTCCCCGGTACAGAACCTGAATAATTTCTCCAATAACATAGAGGCACGCGGCTTCACAGCCACGCTCTTCCAGGGGATATACACAGGCTTTGCTAATTTTTCAGTCTTGAATTGCTTTTTTAAAAAATCTGATTAACATCTTTACTTGAAACACAGTCATAGGAGAATGAAAGGGTGTGACGAAAACCCATCAGCCCAACAGAAATGGGTCAAAAAGACTAAAAGTGATTAATTTTCCATTTCAATGGTTTGCCAGTCCACCATGCGCAAAGCACCCAAAGCACCGTGCAAAACAATTATTAAACTGAGCGGTAAAGAAAATGTTTATATAGAAAGCAAATCAGTGCTGAGAAAAAGACAAGGGGGTTCATTGTGGCACAGGAAAGAGCCAGTGACTGAGTTTCACCGTGAGACGGCCTCCTGCTGTTTACCCTGCCCCCTCCCAGTGTCACACTTCAGGTTTTTCCACTGGTGCTTTCATATTGGAAGACAGGTGAAGCAAGGCTTCGCCAGGGATCCCAAGGGAGCAAGCTTCAGCGTGCGGTCAGCCTGATCTTCTGCAAATAATGGGCATCATGCAACCAGGGAAGGAGGCCTCTCTGAAGCCACCAGTACAGAACAAACACCTGATTCAATCAAATGCTGAAAGCTGGTTAGTGTGGTTAGCCGTTAAGCCCATTCTTCCTCGCAAGTGTTTACGAAATAGACCTCCTACTCTAATAATGCTCACTTACCCAAGCGATCACAGAGCAGGAAAGCGTCAGCTCAAAACCAGAAACACTGTCAACGTGCCTGCTCTTTTAGTGAGTGTGTGAAGGTAGCAACACCTCGAGCCCTTAGACAATCACTTGTCACCTGTGCTACCTGGGTGGGGGACACGAAGTGTGGGAAGGCAGGATCTTCACCTTCTTACAGTGCCCTCCACCTACACAAATCCCACTTCTCAGGAGGCACAAGGTCCCAGCTCCTCCCAAGATGGGGCAGCCATTCCTTCCTGCCCTGGCCTTTAGAGAGCGGCAGAGCCCTTCTGTTCAGTCAGACAGCCCTTCACATCTTTATCTGATTTGTGTGTGCTGGGGCCATCGAGTGTTCCGAGGCAATGTGTGTGCCCTTCCCCACCCTGGCACCACCTAGCACAATCAATGTTTGCCAGACAGATACACCTAACGGCAAGCAGTCAATCTGTTGTCTTGCATCCTTTGGTTTAGCAGATAATCTTCCCTCGGGGACAGTGATTGGTTTTAAAAAACTGCACACACTACTTTCGGACCTGGGGCCAAAATATCCCCAGATCTCCTAACAGTATGGGGGGTGGGGGAGGAGAGACACTAAGACGCCTGGATTAGGGCCATTTAAAAATTATTATTAGCCAATCATGCACTAAATCCTGTGAATTCTTTAAAAACCCACACATGTCAAAGCCAGCATTTGCCCCGTGCTTTCTAACGCACCGTGTGGTTTTCGAATGCCTGATCCTACCCAGGCCGGGTATGTTTGGAATAACGAACAAAATCAGTTCATGTCAAGCCATGAAGTTTTACGTCTATTTCTGTAAACACTGCGCCTCCAAGGCCAGTCTAATTTTCGGAATTAACCTACCAACGGGTCACCCTAAACCTTAATCAACCGGTCCTCTACTGTGCTAAGTTCAGCCCCGCGAGGCAAACCCGGCGCCCGCCGAAGCCGCAGCTACTTACAGGGTCACTTTGGTGGTCACCGTCGACCTGCCCGCACCTAGGTGGCCCCGGGGCTTCAAGCCGTCGGCGTCCGCAGCAGGGGCCAGCCTCCCCGGCTCTTTGCTGCGGCCTCCCTCTCCCCGGCCGTCGAAGTGGTTGGGCAGCGGGCCCCTCTTGTGCTCGGGCTTGATCTCCGGCAGGAGCGAGCTGCTCTTGACCGTGAGCTCGCGGGGCACGACCCGCGCCGCCTCCTCGCCGCTCTCGGCCGCCGCGCCCTTGGCGGCCTGGCCAGGGTCCGGCGCGGGCGTGGGCACCCTCCTGGGTAGGGACTCCTTGGCGGGAGAGCGCAGAGCACCGCCTGGCGGGGTGGGCACGGCCTCGGGGGCGCGGCCCCTGCCCCTCCTCTTGGTGGGCGAGGAGGCCGGGAGCGCCTGCTTGCTGCGCTCCGGCTCTCCTCGGAGCTGCCCTTTAGGCCCGGGGCTGGCTTTGGACTCTGGGCTCGCGGTGGAGGCAACGCCCCCGTTGGGGGCAGCCCGCGGAGATTTCACTTTCTTTTCCGCAGCCTGGCTCTCGGCCGCCGCGTTTGGTGCCAACTCGTCGTCGAACACCGCGTCATCCCGGCCGGCGCTCTCCGACAGCGCGGCGTCGGCGCCCGGCGAGTCGGTGGATTTCTGCGACTTCCTCCGCCTGCCGGACCGGCGGCCGCTCGACCTCTTCTCCATGTCGTCCCCGTCGCCACTGTCCTCCGCCTCGGGCGCAAGGACGTCTGACTCGTCCCCCTGCGCTACCTCGGTCTTGCTCAAGTAGATGTCCAAAGTTAGCACTTTGGCGGGGTGGGCGCGCTCGCCCGGCCGGGACCCGCAGCCTCCGGGCCGCGCTGGGCTGCCCGCCTGCTCCGGGCTGGCTGAGCTCTCCGCGCCCTCGGCGGGAGGATCACCTGCAGGAGCAGACGCGTCCTCGCGGGACTGGCCGCGCGCTCCTGGGGACCCGGGAGAGCCTCCCTCTGGCCACGCGCGGGGGGCTGCGTGCGGGGCCTCGCCTCGTCCTCCCGCGGGCCACTCGTGGGTGGGCGACCCCCGCACACCCCTCGCACCCGGCGCGGGCTCGGGTTCGCCGCCAGCGCCGAGCGCCGCGTCCTCCCCCGCACTGCGGGCGGGCGTCTCCGCGCGCTCTAGCCCGGAGAAATTCCGGGGTGCGGAATGCGGCTGCTTGGCAGCGGCGGTGGCATCTGGGAACGGCTCTCCCCCTGCCTGCGGAGGTTCTAATTGGGGTGATTCACTTTCGTGGCGCGAGCGCGGCGACCGCTCGGCAGGGGGAGCCGCCGGGACGCAGCCCTCCGGGCGCTCGCCCGCTGCCTCCTGCGGGCAGCCCTCCGGGCTGGCGTCTGTTTGCTTGGGTGGGCTGCTCTGAGATGGACTCTTCCCGCCCTCTCTCTCAGGCAGCCTGGAAGCAGCAGTTCCATCTTTGGGAGAGACCGACTTGGCATCTGAGCCGGTGTTTCTCCTCCTGCCCGCCGTGAAGAGAGTGCCAAGTTTCCCCAAAACCGGCTTCCTTCTGTTCTCTTCCGGTGGTTGCGCTCTGGACTGAAAAATAGAAGGGATTGGGGAGAGAAAACATGAGAAGCTGGTTTCTCCCCCTTTGGCAGTGTATCACAGGACAAACCAAAATAATAGACCGGAATTTCTAATTGAAAATAAGCAAGCTGTGTCTGTTTCATCCAGCAGAAATAAACTTACTTTCTGAATGTCTTAAACACCTAGAGTTTTGGGCACTTTAGCACTTAATATTTCCTTTAACCATTTTTAAGGGAAAATTCGAAAGGTCCCTTAATAGTGTACAAAAACAAATCCCAGTTCTCTCTTGGGTCTTGGTGGTTTTTTTTTTTTTTGAACCCTCCTTCCTCCATTAAGACGTAATTTCAAAGCAGCCATGCGTGACAACGGGGTAGCAAACACTAACGTATTTTAGGGCGGAATATTTTTCGGAAACACCGCCCTTTCTTTTTGTGGGAGGGAGAGGACTAGGAAAATACAATACTGGCAGAACATTGAGAAGACACCTGGCTCCAACACTCGGGCAAAACGCAAAGGCGCACGACCTCGGAGGAGCCGCGCCCCTGCGCCCCGCCCTCGGCCCCTCCCGCCCGCCGCGGGCCGGCGGCTCTGCTCCTCCAACCGGAGACGCGCGCGGGCTTCAAACGCCTGCACGCCCGCCGCTCGCGCAGCTCCAGAGCGCACCTGGAGGGTTCCTGCCTCTCCCGGCGCGAAGGGAAGGGGGCGTGGGCACTGAGATGACCGTCTCCGCGTTACCTGCACCCCGCCCAGGGGCCGGCCCACCCACGGGAGGAGCGTGAGACTCCGGAAGGGGAGGAACCTGCGCTTCCCCTCGCCTGGAGCCAAACGGCCGGTACCAGGTGCCCGTGCGGTCATCCCGGAGCGAGCCCAGGACAGATCAATAAAATCAAAGGCGCTGATTGGCGCGCCAGGGTGCGCCGGTGCAGGGAAGGGGAGGCCGAGGGGGCAGGGAAGGTGTGTTTCAGGTACACGACCTCACAGAAACCAGGCCCATGCGCGTGGCCACTGTCACTTGGGAACCAACTCGGGCTCAAAACCCAGGAGCTGGCTTGAACTCTGGTGAGGCAGAAAAAGTCCAGTCCCCCACCACTTAGCCCCCTTTTCGGCAAGGTCACATTCAGGACCATAATAACTACGCCCCTGGAGATTCCCCAGTCACTCCTTAAAGCAGCCGTATCTGATATGGATGCCGCGCGGTCTGGGGACTTTGGAGGCGGTGGGGATAGAGCAGACTAAGAAAGTAAGGGCCGGGCTGCACTGGGTCGCAGGCCTTTGTCCATTCAGTCCTGGCCCCGCGCATCGTGTAAGCCTGCGGCAGCCCAGGAAGGTACCACTGTTGCCCCACAGAGAGAAGGGAAGGAAGCCAAGAGACTACGAGGGTCTTGCGGGTGGGATTCAAACCCGAATACTTGGCTTCCACCGGGTGCTCCTTGGACTCCACCTCTGGGGCCCCTTGTGGAGGCCACGGAGGTGCAGAGGCGCCAGGGCGGCTGTGGCCCGAGTCGGTCCTAAGGAACCAGTCTCTCACCCTCAGAATCCGCGCTGCCGAGAAACTGCCCATGAGCCTCGAGCGCTCGCAAACTTCTGGCGGTTCCTCTGCTCCGAGAAGCACCTGGTGGGCGCTCTGGCAGCAGCGGCTGCTGCTCCGGACAAGCTAAGGGGCAGCCTTGGAGCTCTTGTGACAAAGGGCTATGTGCTTCCAACTCTATCCAGATCTTCATTAATCTAACGTTTACACAAATCACAGTGTACCTTTAAGAAAATACATCAAAATATTCTGACTTACAAAGAACCGTTTGGATTCTGTTACTACAAGGATGTTACATGATTTTTAATCGTAATAGGATTTACTGAGCCTTTTTAAATTTTATTTTCAGAGAGGCAGAGAGAGAGAAATCCTATTCACCTGTTTATTCCCCCCAAATACCCACAACAGCTGGGGCTGGGCCAGGCTGAAGCTGGGAAGCAGGAACTCCATCCCAGTCTCCCACACAGATGGCAAGGACCCAGCTACTTGGGTTACTGAGGCTAGGCATTAGCAGGAGGCTGGACTAGGGAACAGAGCCAGGACTCGAACCCAGGCATCCCAAGCTACCCCGTAGCCACCATCCAAACGCCCACCCTCACTGGGCCCCCTTGATGTGCCTGACACTTGCCTAGTGATTTCTGTGGTGTTATTTTATCCTCCCAAGAGTCCTTAGGGCAGGCAGTCTTCTAAGCCCACTTGCCAAGGTCATGAAGCTGGGTCCCAGACCCACCCCAGCAAAGTCTGTCTGGCGCTGGGTATGGAGCTCTTTGTCTCTACTGCCTGGATAGGTTTCAGACATCCTGAAGACGTAACTGGAAAATGGGTCTGAGACTACTGGCTCTACTCCAGTCCCTGTCAAAATAAAACGGCTAAGTGTATACATTACTCTGCCCCACCAGGGATGGTGCAACTGTTTTTTCCCACATGGTGAGAATGCTTGGTCAGCAGTCCCTCCATGCTCAGGGCTGACACTTTTTCACTTTTGGCTATAGCTGCTTTTTACAAAATAAGCTGTTTGGTCTTCAACTTTGCTCATCAACTACTTAACCCTCCCCAGCTACTTCTCCTAAGGTTTCATCACCAGCCAGACACACTGCTCTATTGAATTTCCTAGAATTCCAGTCTTGTTTGTTTACACACAAGTATTCTTAGAAACTTCACTCATTATAGCTAAAAAACTGGAAATGACTCAAATGTCCATCAACTGGTGAGTGGTTAAACAAATCGTGGTCTCTCTATACAACAGACTACTACTACTCAGCAACAAGAAGGAAAAACTTTCTGAGTTGTGTAACCACATGGATGAATCTCCAAGGCATTTGCTAAATGGAAGGCAGATAAAAGGCTGCACACAGTGTGGCTGTATTTCTATGACATTCTAGATGATCTAACCTATAATGATGGAGAGTAGATTGGTGTTGCTGCAGAGCGGGGACAGGGTAGCAGGTGGGAGGGCAGTATGACTGGGAAGAGGCAAGAGGGAACTTTTGGGTGTATTGGAAATGTTTATCTTGATTGTAGTGATGGTTACGAAACCCAGTAAACACTTAAAATAGGTATTCTGTAATTTGCTATATGTAAATTCAATCTCAATAGGTTGTTTTTTTTTTTTTTTTTTTTTACATGCAGAGTGGACAGTGAGAGAGAGACAGAGAGAAAGGTCTTACTTTTCCATTGGTTCACCCCCCAATGGCCGCTGCAGAGAGCTGGACTGGAAGAGGAACAACCGAGACAGAATCTGGCGCCCCAAACAGGACTAGAACCTGGTGTGCCAGCGCCGCAGGTGGAGGATTAGCCTAGTGAGCTGCAGCGCCAGCCTAGAGTTGTTTTAAAAGTACATTTTACCCCATCCCTGGAAAATAAAGCAGGGCATGGGCCCTCTGGCTTGGGTGTACATTTCACAGTTCTTATTGGAGGGGGTGGGTTCACGCTCTCATTTCCAGGGAAGGTGGTGCTGGCCAAGAGGCCAAGTCCCTGCAGACGTCCCGGCTCTGACTTTTGGACAGAATGCCCCACGCCTCCCGAGGAGAGTTCTCAGTCACTTCGGGAATGAGGCATGCCTCTTCCTAAGCAGGATACACATTTTTCAGCCAGGGCTTCTTTCTTTCTGGGGTCAGTGAGGGAGTCATGGCAGGTGGAGAGTGAAAACCCAGATGGCAGAGTCCTCAGGAAGAAGCCTCATCAGCCATACTCCCTTGGCTCCATGCAGGCAAGTCGTCCCGCTCCCATTTTTGGCTGTAGCTGCTTTCTACAAAGCACCTGCTGGGGCAGGAGCTTTGGGTCTGGAGTCTTAAACCTAGGATGGGAGGTCACAGACCAGCACGTTCTCCCTCAACCTTGATGACAATGTGTTAGGATGTGTTTTCCAAAGAGGCCACCCAGATTCCTACCTCTCTCTCTGACCCTCTGCACCGCAGCAGGGCGCCAAAGGTTCCCAGAGCCCATGGTATCCCTGGACCTCCATGGTAGCCACCTGGTGACCGTGCACTGTCCGCCCACCTTTCTTAAGGCAGCCAGCACCCCTCATAGTGCAGAAGCTACACTTGGCACCCTCCCAACCCCCATGCCCTGCTGGGGAGGGAGCTGTGCGCAACAGCACTGTTTTGGAGATGGTCCACCGGCTGTGTGTGGAGACCTGTTTAGAGAGGTCTTGTTGGCTAATAGTAAGTGTGGCTCATTAGGCAGCATGTGTAAGCAGTTCTACACAGGGTGGACAGTAGATCATCATTCCCGCCGTGTGGAGAGGCTCAGGCAGTGCTGAGTGCCCTGCTGTTTTGGGATTCTGAACCCAGTGGCACCATGTATACGTGTCACTTACTAAACATTACCTGAGCTGGGATACACAGCTTCAGAGACATATGCCTCCTCAACTAATGGGAAAGCAAAGGCCAGGACATAGAGGAAGAGGTGTTACTACACTGCGGTGTGTCCAAATTGTCTGGACACATGGGCAAAACAGTGTCCTTACTTCTCTGTGTTTTTTTTTTTTTTTTCTTCAGATTACCAGTTAGAATCATTGCTTTAAATTTAGAAGTATTTCACCTGAAATCATGTTTGGAGGTTGAAGGAAAATATTGAACACATCATTTGAAGATATAGCTAACATCCTGTTTAAACAGAAGTCTTTCCCATGTTTTCCTACCTTTGCATTCCCCATGGAATGTCAGCCCCTTGCGAGCAGGTAAAATGTCCTGTCTGCATTCCTAACAGGACCACAGCAAGAATGGACATACTGAAGAACCAGTGGCTCCTACTGAAGAACCAGTAACACCCCTCCTTCTGTCAAGAGGGAGTTACAGGAGGGGGCACAGAGCCCAGCCATTAAGACACCCATGTCCCACATCCGAGTGCCTGGGCTCCATGCCCTGGCTCCTGCCAATCCAGACCCTGAGAGGCAGCAGCTGATGGCTCAAGTGGGAGACCCGGATTGCTTTCCCAGTTTGTGGATTCAGCCCAGCCCAGTTCAAGCCTTTTTGGGCAT